GTCTGTGTCTGGTTCTTATCATTATCAAGAGACAGCCGCTGACATGTTTATCGTGGAAAGAGGTCAGACTTCTTGCCGCTCGCTACTGTTCTCCATTATCAGAGAATGAAATAGTACGAACACTTCCCTGAGTGACGTCTGTGTAATTACATAAATACCTTCTGTGTGAAAACTGCACACTCTTATTTTCCTTTAATGTTTTCTGCAGTGTTGGTATGTTGTGGTTGTAGGCATTGAAGGTTTTCCATTCCTCCAGGCAAATCCAGAGCTTTCTTTTACCTTAAGCACTTTCTCTAACAGATGGATATGATATAAACTGTTTATTCTTGTTGATTTTTGGAAATATGAAACCTCGTCTCTTGTTCTCCACACACACTCCTATTAATTACTGTTTGCAGCTTCTGTTTAATCATTACTTTGTCGCTACTTCAAGCTTAATGTACATCCCAGATGAACTTGGGTGGTATGGAAAAGTAAAACTTTTCATGTCAGCATCAAAGAAGAGGAAGGGTTTGGAAATATTCAGCTGCAATCAGCAGCCTGCACCGCAATGTTCCTGTGATTTGCAGTATTATGTTCCTGTCTGACCACAGATTGGAAATTTCCACTCAAACAAAAAATGCCTCTTTCTCTCCAATTTTGCATTATTTGCTGTTATTTCAACTTATGACTTTCTGTTTCTTACTCTTCACAGAAGCTACACATGGTTCGTTGTTGTGATTAGCAGCTTGGATGGGGGCATCAACTGAGCTTGGCCCGACTTCCAGTGTTTAACCCGTTTCATACTATTTGTCTGAGGTCTTGTTGTGCCTATCTGTATGTGCTCTCTTTCATCCCACGGATTTTATGACCGGGTCAGAGCTGATTTGTTTCGTGTTACTCTAAAAGACAAAGCCACCAAAGGAGCTGCTGCTACCGTATTACCATAAATTTTCTAATAAACTAAATGCTGGATAACTATGGTCAATTGGAATATAGTTATGATTGGATTGAATTAAAAATTTTTTCAGGAAGGTGTACTAGGTCTTTCATCTGCACAATCAAAACATGGTCAGCACAACACAGAAATTGTTTACCAGTCAACTCCATCTCCTTTTGCAGATCTAATTTGTATAGACCTGTGAAGTGAGTGAGAAAACACGGCGCTGTTGAACAGTCAGAGATCGATTTGATTGCTGCAACTCTGTGAAATGTCACAGAAGGAAATTCTGTTCCTTTGCTTATTTTTTTATTTTACATATTTACCAAGAGTGTCAATGAGTGTGGAAGGTGTTGTACTTATCCCCCCAAAAAAAATACATACAGAGGGGAAATATTTGTTTCCTGGTCCACAGAGAATTAGTTTTTTTCCCAAGCACCTGTTTCACCACTGTCAAGCAGATTACCGGTGTGAAAAACAACTGTTTACCTCGAAACAACAGCATTGAATGAGTGAAGCTGTTTCTGATGTGTGCAGACATGGGTAAACTTAGCTGAGAGAAAACACACCATAAGGAACCTGATAGCTAGTTTTCACTAAAAATAAATCTGAGTGTCATTACTTTCACACTGTAGTTCAAGTAACAGCATCATGAAAACCAGAACAAGTTCAGAGATAAAGTTATGAAGACGTGAAGAAATATCCCAAGTGTTGAAAATCTCAGATCAATATCCAAAAAAAAATAAAAAAATTCATAAAAAAATGGCACAACTACAGACTTAGGCATTGTCATCCTCAGTTTTCTTTGGAACTTGAAAACATGACAAAGAACCAAATGTGGTAACAATTGAAGGTTATAGCAGCATTTCCATCTTTTTCAATGAAATGTCCATGACAGAATGGCACTAAAAGCACAAGTATTATTTTTATTATTGGGTTGGAAAATATGCTTCTTTTACATCATCTCCACAAAAATCAACATTCCATAGAAAAAAAGTTTAAATTTTATCTTTCTTTTTTCAAAGCTGTTGAAATTTGTGTTTTCTTTCTTTTAAAACCTTAAAGCAGAAAACAAATGTTGGATGACTAGCTAAGGTTGGTATTACTTTATAATAATCAGTCACATGCATAAAATGTTTTGAAATGTAAGAAAACGGAAAACTTGCAACTAAATCCTAACATTGAACCCTTACACAGAAACAGGTATGTTTATAAATGAAATAAAATAGAAAAGCAGCTATAGAATCGGCTCTCTTAGACAAGGAAAAGCTCCAACATTTTGTGAACTGTGTGACAATGCCACAAGTCAGACAGTAGCAGCTGCTGGCAGTCAGCTTGGTGAAGATCCATGAATACTCAGAGGAGATCATGAGGTCTTGACCTTCCAGTAAATGTGTCAGAGTAACAAAACATGTCTGTGACTCACATATTTTACAGCCCCTTGGGGAGCAAAGAAACAGCTCCCAGTTTATGTATATTCATTTCAATTTAGCAAACAACCTGCAGTCGCTTTTAGTCAAGTGGTTTCACGTTTTTAAAAAATCAACTCACTTTCAGTTCTTTTTTTAAGCGGAACAGAAGTCCAAGACGTTCTCTTCCTAACGTGGAAGAAAAGGTCAGTCATGTGTAACATCCAGGGGGATGGAAATGCTTTCCTCTTGTGACTTGATCTCTACTAAACAAAGAGGCTACAGTCAAAGAATGCACTGGGTATTATATCAAAGACAGTAACAATTCACCACCAGGAGAAAACACAGCTCTCAGGGCACGTCCCTTTTCAAAGCATCCATCTGGGAAATTTCCAGCTCCGAGACTGACACGGAGATGATTAATTCCCACTGTGGCCTCGCCGCCGGTCGCCGCTCCACGGAGGGAGAGTTATTTGTTCGTAAATATGGCTGATAAAAATCACAGCGCCGCCGCAGTGGAGCAGGCCCAGGTAGACGAGGCCAGGCACATACCCGGAGGCTGGAATTTTATCAGAAGCATATTTACCACCACTTCATGTCAACCTGTGATGACAGATATGGCAGGAATTCCTCTGATCACTAAACTGTTGCAAAAGAGAAACTTTTTCAACACTTGGAAAACCATTATTTTTACTCCGGTGGCTATAGAAATCTTAAGAAAGAACCTGGAAAATTATGCGTGATGCCTAAATATATATTCTAAACAGACATTTTCTAAATTACTTTAAACACAAGTGACAAATATCAGATATCTACAGACAACTGTGTTCCTCCGTGTCTGATATCATTGGACTGAACATCTAGTTATCTAAGATCACCTAAATTATTTCTATTTGCCAAATGCCAAGATAATAAGAAATTTTACATATTAAAAAAAAAAAAAACTGAATCTCTTGCATCAAATATTTTATATTATTCTACAAGTTAAGGAGTTTGCTGGAATTTCGCCTCATTTTTGTTGATGGAATCAGTGCAAATAGTCATTTTGGTTATGGCCGCTACAAAACGTTAACTTTATTTTTCTTAACAATGAAGTCATTCATTATCAGTATTTATCCTGTAGTGTGACTGTTGATCTGTTTTTATATCATTCTCATAATGGTTGGTGTAATTCTTTTATTTGTCCTCATGTTATGTAGTGATACATGTTTCATTTTAATGCTATTGTTGTACTTGAACTATCTAAAGTGTCAGGCTTTTTGGTTCAGGTTCTTCTCTGCATCCTCAGAACCAGAAGCTAACTCGGAGAAGCAGCATTCAGTTTTTAAACTCCTCCAATTTGGAATAAGCTTCCAGAAAATTGCAAAAAAACAAACAAACAAACAAACAAACAAAAAAAACATTTATTTGAATTGAGGCAAAAAAACTTTTGGTTAAGTGTTAATATTGATCAATAAGAACTGGAACATAATAAACTGTTTTCTGTTGTTCAACTAGAGATAATTTTCCTTTACTTTGAAATGTCCTTAGTGTGCACTATTTTTATTCTTATTCTGTTTTTATACATTTTTATATTCTTTGTGTGAGTCCACTTGCTTCGATTGTATGTTACATTGCTGTTGCACATACATTTCTCCATTGTGGCACAGTAATGGAGAAAAAACATCAACATTCTTTTGATGTTTTTGTTTGCTTACCACCTGCAGAAAAAAAATCCATCCTAAAGTCACTTTATTATCAGGGTTTCTTTGTTACATGGTGGTAAATGCACAGATATTGTGCCCGGCTCTTGGAAGAAGAACTTTAAATTCTTCTGCTGTCAAACTTCATACTTCCTCTGGATTACTTCAGATTTCCAAGACATGCAGAACATTCACTTCTCCAATGTTTAGTTTCTATTATAACAAATTTTTTCCTGATAGAGAAATGTTTATAACTGATACTTTTTGGCATTTCAAATTTAAGTGAATATATTAGAGCATGTAAATTTACTAATTATGTAGGAGTTTCAAATAATCTCCAGTGTTCATGAGAATTCTTGTCCTATTTTTTTATGTCGGAATGTGTTTTTCTGATAAGAGAAACAGCTTATGTGTGAAGTCGCTTCATCAATGGGCCGCCGGCCAAATGTTATCATAATGCATCCAGATTTCACTCAAAATTCTTCTGCCATAACTGTACAGGTGTTCACTAGTTTACAAACTCAACACAAGTATGGTAAATTTTAAAGCAGCTCAAGTGCGCCACCAGGTGCTCAAATGCAGAAAGAACAGGTTTAAAACTGATATTATTAAAATTTATTCCCATTTAAACATGTATTTGAAGAGTCACAATACAGTATTGAAGACACACTCATAATATAAATGATGAAGTACAAATAAAGCCAAATAATCAAACACCACAGTTATGTTACATAAAATACTGAAGGCAGTCTGCCAGCAGCTTAAATATGTCTTTAAATTCAAATAGTTGAGCTTTTTTGGTTTTATTCATGCTGCTTAGAGTAACAAGTTATTTATCTGCATTACTCTTCCAAATTGCATGTGTAAAAGTAAGTCATCAATCTCTTTTCTTTGTAATATTTATAAAGCTATATCCAGAGAATTTGATATTCTGTAGTTATTTTGGGAATCAGGAGCAAACTGTAAATTATTACATTTTAAAACAAAAAGTCTCAAATCAGGCTTTATTCTCGATATTTCAACTTCTCATACATACTCCTCAGTGACAGAACATCTAATTAAAACATCTGAAAACAAAACCAAAACAGCTTTTAAAAAAAGAGACATCAGACATTACACCAGATAAACACTAACAAGCCACTATTTTTGCAGGGCTCTACTTTTTGTGTCAAAAATGATGAGATCTGTGAATGTTCAGATCATAAACCGCTTTGTGCTTCATTCCGCCTTTTGCCTGAGAATTCTTTTCTCCTCTTCTACAAAGTTCTTGTCAGAAGTGGCTTGTCCCAAATCCCTCTTCCTCTTCTCCTTCTGCTGAAACGTCTCTACTCGCCGTTTCTTGGCAGACATCGAGGCCTGTTGCGATTCCTCGTCTTTTAGGCAGATTGGCAGGGAAAATGGAAAAAGAACAATTTGAATTCTCGTCAACGCTAAATTTAGAATGTCGCAAATGAGGTTTTATTTCAGAGTGTTCCAGAAAATCATGAAAAGTAGAAATCACCTCACCTGAGTCAGAGGGCTGTTCCTCTGCAGGTAAGAACCGGGCTTTGCCAGAATAAGCTTTGGGCGCATCGTCACCGTTGTCCTCATACACACTGGACCATTTTATGGCCATGTCCATTCCTGGTGGAGGCCCTTTCTTCCTCTCTGGCTCTGGAGCATAGGTCTCTGGAGGTGGCACAGCATTTGTCTTCCATGGCTTAAATTCTCTTGCAGGCTTGAGGAAAAAAAAAAGCACACAAGGAGGAAAAGGTTAAAAAATGTAACCTGACACTACAACTGATGCCCTATCATTGCTCTTACTTTACAAGATGAGATTTATTGCAATAAAGCTACAGCATGAGAAAAAAGCCTTAGAAAAAGCTTTAAGGCAAATTGGTAAGTCGGTCGTGTCTCTTCTGAAAAACAAAAAATTCTCAGGAAGTAGAAAGTAACAAGAAGATAGCAGTGACCATGAAAAGTTTCATTTCATTTGATAACTATCTTGGAACAGACTAGATGAAGATTTCACTGACCTTGGGAAACAGAGGACATTAAGATTATGTACACTCTGCTTACAAAGTCACAATGAAGTTTCCAGTACAAGAGTGAAGATATGTGGTGACATAAATGCTTATCAGACATTTACTTCAGACTTTACAGTTTACCCTGACCTTAAAACGCTGAGTTCTTAAATGAAATAAAATGTACTGTTGCAATCTTACTCTTTATGCAGCCCTAAATAATATTTAATGGTTGACGCAGAATAGTTTGCATTCACACCCTTTTAAGAATTTTGTTACATTGCAACCGCAAATGTCAGTGAACTTTAGTTCATTTGAATAACTCAGTCAGGTTCAGTGCAGTAGAAAAAGTTTAATTTTTGTAAGTCTTGATGCAGATTCTCATTTGAATCTGTCTGGAATTTAGTTTCTAACAAACAAATATGCTCTCATCTTTTCTCTTGTCTCAAATAATTACAAAAAATAGAACATAGAAATAAACACAATACAATTTTATATAGCATTTTCATTTCCTGATTCCATTACATTGGCTCAACACTTCTAATGTCTCCTCCCCTACTTAAACAGTAATAATTACAGCTGTCTATTTTTACCTCTTCGGGGGGTTTGACAGTCAGGCTGTCCCAGTCTATCTCCTTGTTCAGAGGGTTGTAAAGGAAAGTGGGCTTGGACACGGAGCTGAACAGCTCGTCGGGCCTTGGTAAAGCAGCTCCGCCGGCAGTCCGCTTGGCGGTGGACTGCGTCCCGCTCCCCTCAGCTTCTGTCCCCGCTTTCTTCTTTCGACTATCTCCCTCCTCGTCCGAGTCGCTGGTGCTGTCACTCAAATCGTCGTAACTCGAGAAGAACCCCAAAGAGCCCGATTTATTGTCATCTGTCATTTTGTACGTGTTACTAGTTTTACACGAGGACCCGTCTTTTAAAGTTTCACAGCCAGTGGGACAACGAAAAACTGGCTTAAGGGGGCTTAGCTTCAGACGGTGCTCTGCAGTCTACTCCATTTTGAAAGAGCCTCCAAAACAGTCGTAAAGTATTTCGTCACTGTAGTGCAGCAGTCGCAAAGCGGAAAGGAACTGACGTTAACCTTAAAATGAGGTGTCAAAAGTATAGATAGTTGTAGAAAAATATATTCTAGTGAAAGTAAAAGTACAGGGTGAACTATTTTACAAGTTTTTTCTAATTTATTCCAAAACTCTAAAAAGGAGACATAAGATGGCTAGTTATGGAAGTAAATATTTATTAAATATTCCATAGCTTATTCTCAGAAAATATTCCTTTTGAAAACTTAAAATATCTTCAGTCCTTCATTATAAAATGTAAATATAAATTGCAATTCAAAAAATGTTATCCTAAGACTATTTTAAGACTATGGATAAAACATATACTGCTATTAATATTCTTTATTAGAGTTTTTTTGTTTTGTTTGTTTGTTTGTTAGTTACTTACTCCAAAAAAGCTGGAAGCTGTCAAATCATTCAACCCTGCTGACCGGCGCCATGCTTGTTTTGTTGAGTTTGAGGTCGGTGGACATGCGCGCTCGCCGCTGACGATGTGAAACATGTTAACGGTTAGCGGCGGCGTCTCCGGAGAAAATGGCCGCTTTTAAAGTAGCACATTTATCTTGAAATGTACTACACAAAACGTATCTAAGTAAATTTTGCGTATATCTGAATTATCTTTTTCTTTTCACAAAGCGTAAAAAACAGCCGCCCAACGTGGGGCTCGAACCCACGACCCTGAGATTAAGAGTCTCATGCTCTACCGACTGAGCTAGCCGGGCTAATGGATGAGCAGATACAATGTTGGGTCCTTGTCGCACACAAGCCCGACAGGGCTATCTTTTTCTGCGACAGCGTATGATAATCAGCATTTTCCTAATACTCCTAATAATAATTATTCACGTGTAGTGGTAAAGCTGTTGTCATAAAGTCTGCAACTTGCGCCTGCGCGATTTGGAGTGCATAAAAACAGTCCTCACTCTGAACTTGATGATTTCATCCCGCTTAGACTTAATGTACAATCTTTTTTACAAGGGAGAATATTTTTCAAAATACAGAAATAATTTCGCTTGAGCACTGCCCAGGACTCATAAATAATCAGTAACTGATCTCACCGTTTTCTCCACGCGTGATTGCATTCCACACCTGCATTTTAACACAGAATAAGACGATGAGACAACTTTACGACTAGAGGGCAGCATAGTTACACAAATTCATGGAAAAACTTGTTCGAAGAAAGCAGATTGTTCAGTTTACGATGGCTTCATTTTAAAGTAGCATTTCCCCATTTGGTGAATTTGTGTTTTTAGGGTTCAAGAAACTTTTCAATGTTGTATGTTGTTTTAAATTTTCACCACAATACAAAATCTTCTGCATATTCTAAAATATTTGGAACTTTCTCTTCTTTCTGCCCCTTTTTTGTTAAACATTAGGTATTACACTGTTTAGGATTTTGGTGCGCCATTTGGACTAAAAGTTGCATTTATCATCCCTTTATTGGCATTTGAACGTCTTAAGAATCCAGGTGCTTTGGACATAGACAGTATTTATTCATTGACTACAGCAATTGGCTCTTCCTTCGGCACATTTTTCCTCTACTGTCTGGATGTGAGAAATTCCACATGGAGCTGAAGAGCCACACTCTCTACCGCTCCAACTATTCATAATATCAACATAAGCACACAGTAATTTATTCAGATTTAGACTTAAAATGGATTTATTACAATCAAGAACTTTGATTCTAACAGGAAATGAGAAAATAATATTTTTAAAAAATCAATAAAACAACCCAAAAGAAATATTCATTTTGAAAAATAAAATCTGTTTATATATGTCTCAAGAAAAATGGAAAAATAAATATTTACTGGTATTAAAATCAAACCGTTGGTATAATTGGTGACCAACATTTTTTTGAATGTTTCCATTGGTATTTTGAAGATTTATATCTGAAATATTTCTAATGATGAACTTTAAGACTTTGAGGTATCAAATATTCAGGTGCAATTACATTTATTTTATTTAGGTGCAACCTGACAAATAAATTGATACATATCTTTTAGCAAGTTAAAAATTACCATGAGCTTAGTATATGTTTTTTAAACTGTGTAGTTTTCTGGGACAAACCCAGCTGTTAAAAGTCTAAGTATTTCCTTCTCGCATGCAATTCTACCTATTTCTCATCTCCCTTTAGTCCTCTGTCTTCTGTTTTCTCCCATTGAAGTGGATTTCTCAGAATTAATTTCAATTGGGCCGATCAGCAAACAGGAGAAGTTGTGAACGATGAAATTCATTTTCTGCACTTTGTTTAGAATTGCATTCTGCCTGTAGTTTGGTAATAGCAGTGGAGGAATTGACCAAAGCCACACTTTGAAATATTCAATTAGCTTTAACAACCAGGTCACCCAGTGTGGCACTTCTGTTTTCATGGTGGGAGTTAGTTGTTTCTGTTAAGCCTTATAGCATCAAACTGGTGCGTCAAAGCTAAGCGTTGGGTAAAATTTAAAACTTCACCTGAGGCTCCGCCACAATTAACAATTGTTTCTCAATAACTAAGGGTTATTGCTTTGTACAGATTGTCTGTACAAAGCAAAGCATAGAACCAGAGGATGGTTTTTAGCAGGCTGAGCTTTTAATCACAGTCCACAAATTTTCAATAAGGTTCAGGTTTGGGGAAGCTGTTTCTGGAGAAAATTGTTTCAGTGTGTTTGGTACCATTGTCCTGTAGTCGGAAAAAACAATTGTCTCCAAGTTTCAACCATCTGGTCCAGATGAAAGAAAATTGGACAAGATGTTTAGCAATAACCCAGGAACAGCCAAAGGTCTACTGGGCAACTTCCTCAACACTACTGTCTGTGTCGTTTAGCTTCTTTTTCAGTGGACTCTGGGTTTTTCTGTGGAACATACCTCCAAATTTTTGTGGAGAACCCACCTGACAACAAATCAGCCAGCGTATTAACACCTCTTATTTCCACTGATGCTGTTTGACTCAAGAGCAGAGAAAGCGAAGACTGCAGTTTTTCCAGTAGTGTGAAGATAGTTTCCACTTTGTGTATCAATGCAAGTTCTGATATATTTGCTGTGTGAACTTTTAAAACAGGTGGTTACAAGTGTTTATAGCGGGGTCTTAAGGTGGCTAAGTCCTGAGTATACCAATGTACTGTTTCCACTAAAAGCTGCTTGGCATTGTCAGAGGGAACTTGGCAAGAACTTCATGGGTACAAACAGAACTCTGCTCCTCAAATCAGGAATGTATTTTTCTTGCAAATGTGACACTTTTTAACATGTTTTAATGGTTTTAATGGTAGAAAACCATTGGTATAAGAAATTAGGAAACATCCAACTAAAAATAATTATACATTTTAACCATTTTTTTAACTTGTTATTTAAGAACTTGTATGTCCAGATGGATAAAATAAAAACGTTGTGAAGGAATTAATAGTAATACATTGAAAACAACAAAACAACTTTTATGTTATGAATGAATAACATCCACACAGAACTGTGTCAGCTGTGCTTTTCTCTAAATTATAGATAGATATTCTCTATTTCTCTGTTGCTAATTTGGGTTAAGCGTTTTCTATGAGAGAAATTACCAGAGACTTTCATCGTTTTAGATGTTTTACTGCTTCACCTGCAAATATTTAAAATTTCTGAGCATATTCTACATGTTAATCATTGTGATCCTGTTTATGGGTTACATAATTAAGCCCATAATTGCCATCTTGGAGTTGCCTAACAACACCTGGAGGATAAAAAAAAGTGGCTTGGTGATGCACTCATAAAACCCAGATGTTCCCTGTAATCTACATATGTTTATTTGTAACCATCTGTAACTTTAGGATCAGCAATTGAAGAAGTACATTTAAATATTTTCATTCCTATGCACAATTTAATTTAAACTTACTCAAAGATTAAAGAGCTAATAAAAGTACTGGCAGCATCTGGTTGATGCAGCTGATCTTTCACGTGAGACAGAATTGATGTGGGGAGATGACATAGGTGCAAGAATCATGACCAACAGGAGGTTAATGGAGAGAACAGACGCATCCCATCATGGTCTGTATTTAGTTCACTGAGGAAGAGCGCAAAAAAGACTCATCTGTTTGGACGTAGAGCTCAGACATTCCTGTTAAAACATGTAATGTCACATCTATAAATGCTGCTTTTCTTCTTGCTTTTGCAGACTTTGCATAAACTACCTTTCTTTAGCTTCAACATGTTTCTGATCCTCCTTTCTTCCCCTCCTTTATTCAGTTTCCTTTGATTGCATTTCATTCCTCAGCCTCTTGTTTTTCTAGCCCGCAGACACACCAGACGACACATAGACTCCAGCATTGAGTTTTTGCTGGTCATCTAATACTGCTCCGTGCAATTTCAAACCGGAGAGGTGGCATTCCTTGGCTCATTACATTAACTACAGGCTCTGTAAGCACCGTGGCCTGTTGGGGCTCGTGGCTGGAGAACAGGATCTGAACGATGTGGATAAAGGAAGAAAAATTCAAAAAGTTAAGGAAAAAAAGAAGGCATGAGGAAAAGTGATGGTGGATTGTGAGAAGGTGTGAGACATCTGGGTCAAGCGGCGAGTCAGCGGGTGACTGGGGTGGTAGTAGGGGGTGTTCATCCTCCTCACGTGTTCAGTGGTGTCCTGCAGCGTACACAGCTCTGGACTAAACACACACACAACTCAACCTTTTGCCCTTTCTGATGCTTTGATTTTCTCTTTAGCCTTTTTTTTCTCTCAAACCCTGCAGCTCATGGAATATATTTCTGTCCAAATGTGCAATTTTAAGTGGATGACTGAGATATTGCGAGAATTGCGAGTGACAACTTCTTTCACCCTGAAAGCTTGAGATCTTTGGGTGAATGTCAGAGTGATAAATGTGATAGTATGAGGTAACCACACAGACAGCGTTTGATTGTCTCCAAGTTCAGCTACTTGAAAACATGCAGTGGAAAACTCACCACAGACAGACAATTCCAACTAAACCTCAAACTTACAAATATTTACCCTATCAGCTGCATTCACAGCTTGTAAACATAAATAAATATAATATATTATATTTACAAGGTATAATTTAGCTTGTATATATATATTCACAAGTAATTCTTCAT